TTAACTGCGAGATTTGATTCTTTTACTATAAACAGCCAGAAATTTCGCAGTCAAGGAAAAATAGTTAAATGCGAGATTTGAGTCTCTTTACTATAAGCACACAGAAATTTCGCAGTTAAGGAAAAATTGTTTAGTGCGAGATTTGTGTTCTTTTATGTTAACAGAGAAATTTCGCAGTTAAGGAAAAATTGTTTAGTGCGAGATTTGTGTTCTTTCATGTAAACAGAGAGAAATTTCGCAGTTTAGGGAAAATGGTTAACTGCGAGATTTGATTCTTTTACTATAAACAGCCAGAAATTTCGCAGTCAAGGAAAAGTAGTTAAATGCGAGATTTGAGTCTTTTACTATAAACAGACAGAAATTTCGCAGTTAAGAAAATAGTTAAGTGCGAGATTTGTATCAGTGTAATTAATATGTAGTTAGAGTAAAACTTCGCGATTACCTAATTGCAAAATTTTGCTTCGTATATATGAGTGAGTTTCACTCTGTATATATACAGAGTCGTTTATTTGCGAATTTTTGTTTGTGTCTGTAGAGATACTTAAATGCAAAATTTGCTTTTATCAAATCACCGTCGACTCGGTACTTATAGCAACACAAATTTAATTCTGAAAACCACTGAATGAATGATTTACAAAGTACCTTCCTTATATTATCTGCTTCATTTTCCTCCACTAGCTGCTGATTTTCTTCTGGGAACTTCTTGGATAACTTTAAAAATCGTTGCTTTTAGCTTGAGGCTTCGTGTTTGTGTTGTTGTGTTCATTCACGAAAAAGAAAACTGGCAAGACCTGGCAGTGTTTTTCCCGCCTTTTGTCACGCCACTTTCCACCATGCTTTGATCACGTGCTGTAATGTAGCCCGAGCGGTAGGCTTTTGTACATTATGCTAGCATTTTTTCGAGCATTTTAGTGAGGCAAAAGCATTGAGCATTATTCGAGCATTTTAGTGGCATTTTCCCCGGAAAATTAATTTTTCCGAGAAAATAAAATAGAAATTAACTTTTTTCAGGAGCCCATGCCCCATGAGCTGCTGCTTTTTTAAACAAAATGAGGACTAGAATTTAAAATTCAAAAACACCTAATACAGCTGGTTTTTTTTGGCTGTATTTATGAACTTGTACACGTTGTCGTTGTTACTTGCAACACTTGCACGTTTTTGTAAGTGTAAACTTTGAAATTAATTTAAAAAACCGTTTGTATAATGAGCATTATCCGAGCATTTTAGTGACTTTTTTGGGGAGACCGAGCATTTTAGTGGGAAAAATGGAGCATTAAGTTGGAGCATTTTAGTAGGGAAACAAAAGCATAATGTAAAAAAGCCTACCGAGCGGGGTACATTGCTTGATGTATCACGATCGGGATACATTTGATTTTAGTCAAGGCCACGTGACCAAGAATCAACCAATGGCAGTCCCTGTTTAGTTGAGTGAAAGTCTAGGAATATAACAATAGCATATGAATGATCATTGGCAAATATCAAACCCCAAAATAAGATCGACCTAAGGGAGGTTTTGTGAGCCTGCGAGACTGAGCAACCTGCAAAAACCCTCGTTTTCACTACAGCCGCTGAACACACAACCTCTCCTAGTCGGTGTTACATTGTCACAACCATGATCATTGATGATGGCCTTGATTATATTTCGATCCCCAACAGCGCATGCTCTCTTGTAGCTTGCGTCGCAGACTTGATTTAACCTTGTTCCTTGTTCCGGGCCCGCAAAGGATTTAACGAATTACTGGAAATGCGTTTCGAGTTTCCCATCAATCTGATTGGCAAATCGACAATTGCATTTTCAACAGGCCAATCATGGCGCGTACCTAGATCCTGGTACACAGGGTGGGGCCCAGGGAACAAGGATTTCAGTGCAGTTTTGCAGACGGACTTAACCAGAGTGTAGTTTCGTCTATAGCGCAAGCTACGTCTCTTGTCGAACAGGCATTTCCTTACTGGAGGCTGTCTACGAATACTCGACAGCGATTCACAGCACAGCACAAACACTGTTCAGTCCAGCTTCTCGTCAACGCGGTTGTGCGTTAAACATTCTCGCCACTTTGGTCATTCGCTGGAGGCAAATTTTTATGCTGGCAACTATCGATAGATCGCATCCCGGGAGGGTGTCCCCTGGAAAACGTTGAATGTGGCCCTGAAGCAGCCAATGGGACTCAGAGACAGTACGAGCAAGAGTTCTCGATCAAGTTACATGTACAAGGCGTTTAAGTTGTTATTGTTTACTAGTTGACCTTTTGGAATGTTTGACCTTCGCACGTGTTTGATGATTCAAGGTTTATATGCCTTCTTACTTCAGGCGTCAACAGTAAGTGTGTATCACACGCCTTTCCCTTCTCTAAGTGGCCAAAATATTCCTCCTGAAAGCCATAAATTAAAATCTTGTCTGAGCAAACAGCGACAATTGTAGGCCGCGAAATTTGCGCGCTCCTAACGTGGCTCAAACCCTGAGACAGATTACGCTTCAGGGCATTGGATTCCATGAGTGAAAAACAAGGAGAATGATATTTTAGCGGCGGAAAAAACTGATTCACCCACGTGGACTGGTCATCTCTGACGTTTTTCATTTGTCGTAAATATGAAGGTCAAACTTTCTGATCTAGGATAGGTGTGCATAGCGAAAGTTCTTGAAAACTGACAGCCACCTAAATCCCTCAAAACGGAAAACCCTAATTTAAGGGAAAGCCGATGACAAAAACCTGTAAGTGTAAACTGGCTTTTTAAATTTCTTTCTCGGTAAAGACATTCATAAAGCGTCGCCGAAATTCTAGAGTAAGCCTCGTCAATTAAGTCATTTTGTATGGGTAATCACCAGCCTAGTCCCCAGGCGTTTTCGGCTCGGTCATTCCTGGACTCTACCATGAGCTGTGACGTCACCGAGAGATACCCGCCGAGAACGCGTTCCATCGCCCGCTCTCACCCAGACTTCGCGCGGACAACGGATCAAGAGAGAACGCCTCGGGACTACCACATGTTAGTTCCATGCATTTAAAGGTATAGCTCAGACGTTTTGAGAGCGGCTTAGGTCCAGGTGTTTTTTAGCAAACCCATTAAAGGACTGTCAATGTAGTAGCAAAAAGGACATCCTGTTCAGGAAAGGACTGATTCCCTCCAAAACAACACCCTTACCTGCACCCATCGTTGTGGTTGTTAAGGTCTTCTTAGATGCAAAACCCACAGGCCGACAGTATGGTAATCGACCCAACAATCACGAGGCTTAAAATGTTTGTCAGTTAGCTTCTACGTCAAAAGAGACAGTGAAGGATCATAAGTACAATTAAAAGTAAATTCTTTACTAGTTATTTTGTCATTGAAGATTTCTTGTAGTTTCACACGAATTACAAGTCAAAGGACATTGTGATTTGATATTCGGGTAAACGTTGCAAAAGAGTCGAAACTCTTGACATTTGCCGGGATCTATGTCTTCACAAGCTACAAAGAAAAGAAGAGGATGTAGTTAATCTATTTAATTCGCGTTTGAGATGTTTTTTTTCCTTAATCATAACAATAACAAAATTCTTAAATCTGACTGGCTATCAACTGTCCCGATTTTAGCACTCAGTACGGGTCATGATACCTGAGTATTGGACAGCCCCATCGCTCGCACTTGAATGGTTTTTTTGGTTGTTTTTCTATAGTTGTTGTTGCTGTTATTGTTTGTTTGTTTATTTTTTTTTTCACTGCTAGCAAAAATCTCTGGGAGTTTCTTGTGTTTTACTTTTACAAAAAAGTAAAAAATATCACAAATTTTGTTATACCGATAACTAAGTAACCCTCACTTTCAAAATGAGGCCAAGTGCACAACCTTTCTTGTGGAATTGAGTTTTACTTGTATGAGAATGAAAAATCATTTCCATATCAAAGGCTGAGCACTTAACCTCGTTTTGATACTGAGGCCCGGAAGAACTCGGAAATGGCGTATTGGAAACGGACTTCTTGTCGTCCAATTTGGTCTATAATCATGCAAGCTTGGATTGAACATACCGGATTCCTGCTATGCGGTCGCCCTTATGATTACACGTAATCACTGCTGTATGATAACAGACCGAATTGGACTCCGGACATTAGGGCTCAAAAATATAGACCATAATATCAGCATTTATATTTTTTGCAATAATCTTTGTTCATTTTTCTATATGCTAATGAAGAAAATTTACTTTAAAATCAAACAATTTTCAGGGGGTAATGACCTTTACGTAGTAACGACCGTCCTTAAAAATCACTTCATTAAAACGAAGGGGTGACACACTCCGTACAAAAATCAATGAACACTTGCTTTTACGTTTATACATGGTTATTAATTTACCTGGAGACGACTGGCCCAAATTAATCCTATAAACGTAGTTCACGTTTTCTTCTCCTGCACAGCTTGAGAAGGAGGCATCGCATGGGAGAAAATTTTGACCAAAACAAGAATTTGATTTTCCACCAGAATCGTATGCCACATCCGGGTTCTCTCCTGTCCAACACTCGCCAAAGAACTGAATACCAAAATATGTGTAGCCAGCGGCAGCAGTTACGTTAGCGCACTCGCACACCAACCTGCGAGCGGAACGAATCAAAAACTGATTTTTGCAAAGCGGTGAGAGGACTCACCTCAGTGTGGCAGGGGTTCGTCCCGAAGGTGACATCATTTGTTGCCGGGTTGAGTCAAGAGCCGAGTTGAGTAAAGCCTTTCTCGTCTTAGGTTATTTATAGAAATGATTTTCGCCGAAACTTTGTCACGCCCTATTGGTAATAACCAATCAGAGCACAGCTATGCTCATGCTCCGATTTACATATGCTTTTACGCGTTCTGAAGAAATCTTTGACATCAGCAATGGCAGAAAGCATGGAGAAATTATCGGATTCATTAATCGGCCCCTGGTTGAGTTTATTTTTCCATGAAATGTGGTTTAACAACTGTATTACAATCGTAACTATTGTTAGTTACGCGGACTGAAATTATAGGTACCTTTAATTATAGAAATGACTTATTAGTGCACTCACGTTTCAAGGAACTCGTTCCAGTTTTCCCAGTTGATTATTTTTCTTTTGTTTAGTAATAACTGTGGAAAAGGTCGACTTCCGTGATCCTCAAAACATCCAATCTTCTCGTAGGAAATCCAACATGCTTCAGCATCTGCTAAAACAGAAATTTAGTAAATCCATGTTCCTGACCTTTTCAAGCTTAGTGAGAGCAATGTCAGCTTAATTTATGATTGCACTGGGCAGAAGAAATTACAAAATTTAGAGCGATGTCAAATTTCTTTATAACATAACACATCTCTCTTAATTTTCCTTAAACTGTCGGTTTCAGACAAAAAACCAACATAATAATACACTGAAGTTCAGCGGCACAATTTCTTTACAGTTTTTCTAACTTAGATCCAACCTTGGTCAAAACCTTTTACGGACACATGGCAAATGTACCTATTTTTTTCTGTAGTCCTGGTGAAAAAGGGAAACCGTCGTCAACTAAATGCCAGTGTTCCCCCCTCACCTTATCCAATGTTGTCTAGGGTAACACGAGAATTATACACGTTGGTTTTTAGACCAAAACAACTTTGAAAAGGGGGTGGAGAGGGGTCTTACTTTTTCTGTTTAGAGGAGATGGTAGTTATAGAATAGACGGAACTGTCTTAATAGTTTTGTCCGAGTTTGTCCCTCAGAGCACTCTAATTTTGCTCAATCGACAAAAAATAAGCTAGTTCACACAATGGCAATAGCGGCGATCAAGATGAAATTCGGCGCCTTAAACTTAATCAAGATTTACTCCATAACAGTTCTATCGCCAAACACGTTTGTATCATCGAATAGTAATGGCAAACACAGTATACACAGTAGAAATATTCAAATTGACCGTTAGTTTAATCCAAATCTCCGCTTCTGTGCATCACATTTTGTTTTAAATTACATGACTTTCCTAATTTAAACGTATAAAGGTACTCTTTCCGGCTGGTTTATACCTCTGAACCTATAACTACAATTAGAATTTCTACCCGCAGCTCAGACAAATTTGGCTTGTGGTTTTGTGCACTGTAGCGACTCTGATAAACTACAGTACACCAAGCTAATTAACCACCTACTGTTCGTTTGGCTCGTTTCAATCCACCGCCGAACTAAACGAGGTGAAACGAGCGGCTAAATTATAGACTAAGCAATCGGCAGCGGAGGCAGAACGAGCCAAAGGCATGCGCACGGAGCCTTCGATGGAATATATAGATCTAATTAAGACGACGCATACATATATACCGTTTTCAGTCTCCCACCATTTCTCCATTCCAACGCCAAGACACAAATACAAGAACCTAAGAACCTCTGCTTTACCTCCACTGCCAACGAGCCGCGAAAATTAGTTTGATCATCCACACTGTACTGAGACGTCGCGCTGAATAACAGTAAGCAGGTCCCAGGCTTTCAGATAGTAGAACGGGGGAAAAAACTGATTGAGGTGGAAACAAAAAACGAGTGGAGCTCTAGCCTGAATTTCATCCTATTAATTCGAGTCGTTATTGCTCCCTAAGTAACGTCGTTACCGAAGGAGTAATAACAACTCGAAGTAATCGGATGAAATTCAGGCTAGTGGACCTCGGGTTTTTCCTCGTTTTCGTTTTCCGCTTCCCAGGTACGATTAACTCGCTCCCCACTATCTGAACGACTATAGAACAGGCTAGTTAACAGTCTGCTGCTAATATTTTCAAGTGACGCGGATTACACAAAAGGCTTCAGTACACAAAGCAATAGACAGAACTGATCGCATAAATATCAGGAAATGAACATGAATACGTCTCCTTTTTAAAGCCCTGTAAAACGGTCGCAGTGATTGTTATAAGCATTCTCATGGATCACATAAACACTTTTTCTTTGCCCTTCAACAGTCTTACAAATAATCGCGCTTGATCTCCTATTTTTCGTCCTTCATTATCAGAAATGCAAAATGGCTTAATATCAATCAGTCAATTATTCAAGACGATATTCCAGAATAACTAAATTAAACGGTCATTGAGAGTCAGATCAAGATTGAGCTTATAATGCATCAAATGTGAAAAATCTCTTCTGAAATAAACCAGTCAGTACCTGATACTTTTTCACTGCCAAAAATGATCACCAAAGTCATCCAGACTTCAACCATTAAGACCAACTTGTCCATTGAGAAAACAAACAGCTTTGAGAGCAAAGAAGATAGTCAATTTTAGGTATCAAAAATGAAAACACTTTGTAGAAGGTTTCTTTTCGACTAACTTTCCGAGTCTTTAGCTTCCACGCTAACGCTAGCGGATGCCCTCTCTTTCCGCACTGGTACCAATGCTATAATATGAACTGTTCGTGATAAACTAGGATAAGACTTTTAGCTTATAATAGTGATACATGACGTTTTGTATGTTTGCAAATTGGAAAGAGAAGGATTTTTTTCAAAGCGTTGTGATAACGTCCTGTAGCCTTTCTTCAAGATGTAAATAGCATTGTTGTTCGTACAGAGAAATATCCTTCCTCTATAGATAGCAAAACTGTCTCAATTTAAATTTGAATTTAAATTAAGCTGTGTCCGTAAACAGATTGGCTTTATTTGACCAGTTTATTGGATTACACAAAGACGTCGTCGTCTTATTTTGAATGTTTTATTAGTTATATTTCTCTAGGTTGGTACTGACAACTAAATTAAATTTGCTCAGTGTGCGCGTGCCCGTGGTAGGAAATGCGTCACTTTCGCTGCATGTAACAATTTAATTAGGAAAAATTGTTTTTTGTTAAGTACATGTATTCCCTGAGTTTAAAATAAGTTTCAAGAATAAAGAAAAACAGTGTGAAAAAAAAACAAGACGTTACTCAGGTAGATGGATTATTCAGTCTTGCTAACTAAAGAAAGAAACAGATGTTACTCCCTTTGTGAATAGAAAAGATTTCATTGCCTGTTTCGTGGGGGCCGTATTTCGACACATATATGCCTGTGCAAACTTTAAAATCTTTCTTTCTACTATCAATACAGACATTGCTGGCAAGGATGACAGGCACACAGAGTTTCTAAATTGTCATTTCTTCGGACGCGGGAAATAACAGACAAATTCTTGACAACAACAGGAAACCGTTAAGCATCAAGTTTGCCAAAAAAGAAGAGCACTGAACTCAGGCTCTTCACACCAAATTTTTAACCAGAGTCTGAGAATAAAGGGCCACACTGACGGCGGGGCTGCAAAAAAGTACACAGAACTTTCAACTGAAACAAATTATTATAGTCAATTGTAGCAAAGCCTGAGTGTTGAAAATTATGGAGACTGATCATGGAACGCTCCTGAACGCCGGAAAGGCTGCCCAATTCAGTAACCTGCCGATTTTAAATACTCGTAGAGTCTCAAGTGTGGGCAGAGTGCAGTGAGAGTAAATACATACTCGACTGGATTTTTAAACGTGAAGGCATTGAAAATTACATTTGACCAACACCCCCCACCCCAAAAAACCTGAAATCACGCTGAGAAAGAAAAGAAAAAGGAAAGGAAGGGGAAATTACTATTGTTAGTAGCTGTTTTTTTTTCTTTCTTTTTTTTTTTCATTGCTATCATGATTAAAAATAGATTTTGAACGTTTTCCAAATCCAGTCACATGAAGTCTTCAACAGAGTGAAAGTTTTCTCGATAAGGACTATATTCTTCGTCTGTTGTTTCCGGCAGAGATTGTTGTACAAGGCAGTTCATCAACACGGTACTTAAGAGAAAGTTTTTTTTCCGATTGTCGATCATACTAAATTCTTGACGAACTGAGTGAGTCGCTTGTAAAAAAAAATGTGGCTTGTCTTAATTTCAATTCTTCAGATTCTTATTTAATTAAAAGTAAAGTTTGAATTGTTAACCTTTATATTGTTATTATTAGTTGATAGTTTTTGGACTTTTCTGCTAATTATGACTAAACAGTGAGTGAGATACTCGATTTGACAGCGCGATGAAGCCGGCAATGACATGATTTGGCCCGCAAAGTAACATAAAAACTGAGGAAATTAAAGTTTCTTTCCGGCGGCGCCATAAATTATATCAAGAGCTTTATCGGTGCTTTATCTGTCTGACAAGAAATTTTTTAAAAGAAACGGCAATTACAATGACAGGAAGTCCTCCTCGAAGGAGATAATTAATGATTTTTTTTCCTTATCCAAACTAAAACTTTTTTCACCCATCTGGAGGCAGTTGCCGGTTGAACTGATCTGCGCTGACTGAATGGAACGCTATCTTCTAGATCAACGTGTCTGCCTTGAAAGGTGAGCATAACCACTCGACGCCTTCTAAAAACTTTTCAGCATAGTTAGAAATTGAATGAATCATATCTTCGTGACGTGCGTAAATTTAAGAGAAAACATTTACCAAACACAAGTGTTTCACTCGAGATAAAATACCGCCTTTTAAATTAGCCTGTTCAAGGCGTTCAGATAGTAGAGCGCGGTCGAAAGATTGACGAGAAAAAATAAACGGTATAGACCACTCTCCCCTCGTTTTTTCCCCTCGCCGTGGTTTCCTCCACGTACGATTAAACTCGCTCCCCATCATCCGAACACCGCGCTCTACTATCTGAACGCATGGAACAGGTTATTTTAAAATCTGATTTGGCGAAAAGCACATGCTAAATACAAGTGTACTTGCGTGTCTGTCCGTGCTACCCGTTCTTGTCAGTGAGTCCGAATCCAAAGAAACGGTACATTCTGACATCTCGGAGGCTCGGATATGATTTGTCTTTCTCTGCGGAGTAGTTGTTTCTGAACAATTAACTTTCACAAAAAATGTCATTATTCACCCACACCCGTTTTCAGACCTTGCCTCTCGGAAATCCAGACCCGTTTTCAGACCTAAAATTGCTTAAATGAGAACGCCAACGAAAGAATCTCTTAAACATTAAAATCCATTTCGAATCATGCGCATATCATCTTTGTTTCTGACTTATTCATGTGGAATTAAAACGACGAATACGTTCATCACTCTCGTAGTTTCCTAGAAAACCATACCTGATTCTAGACCAAAATGTGCAAAGT